CCATTGCACGGTGCCAGAGGGGTTCTCCACCTCACACTTCAGCATGGCTGTCTCCCCTTCAGGAATGGTGACATTCTCTGGCTCCACACGGAAAACCTGATGAAGCATCTCTGCTTGGCAACCTACGGAAACATGGGCCAAAACAGGCCCAAAACATGGAGGGATATCAGCAGTTGAAGATGATGGGGAAACAAATAGATTTTAAACCTGAACTGTTTTTATTAGGCACTAGCCGATAACCTGGCATTGCCCGGGTATTTATTTATAGTGAGCAATGTCCGGACCAAACTTAATTTCTAATGTTGGATTTTCCCTGTTACCAGAGGGAGCCCCCTCATGGAATACTGTGAAGCTGTTACCATGGCAACTCCACTGCGCTGTACAGTAGAAGCCATTTAAAGGCACAACAGACTGCACCTTAACAGAACACACACCTCGAGGTGTGTCAGGGATGTCTTACACCCCACAGCATTTTTCTCCAGAGAATAAATCATCTATGTACCAAGTTTGGTTGAAATTGCTCAAGGCGTTCCAGAGTTATGCTGGAACACACACACGCAAACACATACACACAGCCATTTTTATATAGAGGTAATATCAGAAAAACATGATCAGTAAAATATATATTTAATATTACATGTCCTAACAGCAGCAAGGATTATATTCGCACAATATTGGAAAAATGAAGAAACACCACGAGATGAAGAGATAATTAGGAAGATACTAGATTGAGCAGGAATGGATAGACATACATTGAAAATTAAACAGAAAGAAGACACAGAATATTATCAAACATGGAACTTATTTTACCAGTGGTTGAGGGAAAGGGGGCGGAAATTAAGAATGTAATCTATATTGTTAAGTAAATTAACTATCTAGACAACATGATGTTTATTCTTCTTCTTGTGCCATATTCGTCATGGGATGTTGGCGATCATGTTGGCAATCCTATTTTTATCAACAGCCACATGAAAAAGTACTGCTTAAACAATGTTTATTAGGCCCTCGCAACTGTAAACGATAAAAATAATTAATAAAATTTATTTTTAAAAAATCTCAGCAGTTGAGTTGCTTGTTCAAAGTCAGCCAATTCTGTTCCGAGCTCAACACAAACTGTGTAAGGATGTTTAATTTGGAAAAGCTGAGAAAGTCTGCTTAGAGAGAAAGAAGGAGAAGATTGGAGGAGAGGGGTAAAAGCCTACATTCAAACATTATTCTTTTGCTCTGTCAGCTGTGTCACACTTCTACCTACTGCTATCTGATCTGCTGGAGAAAGATCAAAAAATTGGAGACAGGCGAGGCACGCCTGCCCGATGCAGATTTATATTTTGCTCCTTTGCTTATCCTTTTAAGTAATATTATCTGCCATAGGCACTCACTCTGGTAGTCAGTTTGACGTAGTGATTAAAGGAAATGGACTAGATTAAGTGGGAGACAATGAGTTCTAGTTCCACATTAGGCCAGTTGAGTGACCTTGGGCCAGTCGCTCTCTATCAATCCTAGGAAGCAAACCACCTGAAAATATCACAGAATAAACTGCATGGATTTGCCACATCTGTATATTTGTATATAAAGGTAAAAGTTCCCCTCTCACATGTGTGCTAGTTTTTCCCAACTCTAGAGGGGGGTGTTCATCTCCGTTTCAAAGCTGAAAAGCCAGCGCTGTCCGAAGACGTCTCCATGGTCATGTGGCCAGCATGACTAAACACTGAAGGCGCATGGGACGCTGTTACCTTCCCACCAAAGGAGGGCCCTATTTTTCTACTTGTATTTTTACATGCTTTTGAACTGCTAGGTATGGCAGAAGCTGGGACAAGTAACGGGAGCTCACTCCATTATGCAGCACTAGGAATTCGAACTGCTGAACTGTCGACCTTTCTGATCGACAAGCTCAGCGTCTTAGCCACTGAGCCACCGCGTCTGATGATGTTACCTAATTTGGGTAATGAAATGTCTGCAAGAAAACAACCAAGTTCAGAGAGCACCCGGGATTCCTCCATGCAGTGTTTTCACATAGAAAATATCAATCGATTGAAACAAGCTGTACTGCATTTTCTGTTCCCCTTGAATGTTATAGCCAGGTACAAAGGCTTCCTCTACGTCTCTTATTGGGACCGAAAGATAGAATAGTGCCCCATCCTTCTGCTGGGTTCTTTTTGCTGAATGTTCTCACCTTTGTTCACCTCCAGGATAAAGTAGACGATCAGGGGAACAAACAAGCCACAATATGACATTCCTACTTGCCGATGATCTGGAGGTTAAGAAATCAGGGTTTCCAGGTGTTACAATCCTGCAAAAGGTTGTCAGGCAAGAATTGACTGAGCAAACGGTGGACACGAAAGCAGTTGCCACATTCTGTAGTCACCGAAAATACTTTTCAAGATACATGCAATATATTGGGGGGGGCAATTAGCTGGAATTGTGAGATGCAGAAGGAGACATCGGGAGATCCTCAAAGTTCACCCTAAGCTCAGCCTTTTCTGGGAATGCAGCTGCTAAGTCAGGGGTGTCAAACTCGATTTCATTGGGGTAGTGTTTGAAATCTGGGGGTTGAGGGCGTGGCCAGGATGGGCGTGGCCAGCTCAACATCCATTTTCGGTTGCAACGGCCTCCTGCAGCCGTCTGCCAGCAAAGGGCTGCAGGAGGCCGTCACAGTCAAAAATGGAGCTTAGGAGGGCCCCGCGCAGCCCTCCCAACCTCCATTTTCACTGGCAGAGGCACTGCGGGCCAGTCCTTCACTGTTTCCAGGGCCAGATTTAAGCACTCCACGGGCCGCATCCAGCCCCTGGGCCTTGAGTTTGACACCACTGTGCTAAGTCTTTAACTCAGTGGCCCCCGACCTTTTGGGTACCAAGGACCAGTTATGTGGGGTGAGGTTTTTTCGCAGTCCAGAAGGGGTGTGGTTTTGTGTGCTGCCTGCAACCCACGGATGGGGCTTCGCTTGCTTGTGCAGCCCAGTTTCTGGTATGCCACGGACCAGTGTCGATAATCCATGGCCCGGGCGTTGGGGACCCCTGTTT